AGGGATGCCCAAACACAGGCGAGAGATGGGCGAGAGACGTGGCGAGACGTGGGGAGATATGCGGCAACCGTCACGCCAGTGCCATTCCCATCTCGCCCATCTCTCGCCCATCTCTCGCCCATCTCTCGCCCATCCTTCCCCATCTCTCGCCCATCTCTCCCCCATCTCTCGCCCATCTCTCGCCCATCTCTCGCCCATCTCTCGCCCATCTCTCGCCCATCCTTCCCCATCTCTTCTCTCCCCCCTCTCCCCCCCCCTCTCCCCCCCCTCTCTCCCCCCTCTCTCCCCCATCTCTCCCCACCCGCTGCGCCAGATCCTCGGCTCGCGTGCGGGCGCGGAGCCGTCGGCCTCCGTCGTGGCCGAGGGGACGCCTCTACTTCTCGGACCTTTCCTAGACCTTTCCTGGAGCCTTCCTGTAGGCCGCCGTCGTGGCCGAGGGGACGCCTCTACTTCTCGGACCTTTCCTAGACCTTTCCTGGAGCCTTCCTGTAGGCCGCCGTCGTGGCCGAGGGGACGCCTCTACTTCTCGGACCTTTCCTGGACCTTTCCTGGAGCCTTCCTGTAGGCCGCCGTCGTGGCCGAGGGGACGCCTCTACTTCTCGGACCTTTCCTAGACCTTTCCTGGAGCCTTCCTGTAGGCCGCCGTCGTGGCCGAGGGGACGCCTCTACTTCTCGGACCTTTCCTGGACCTTTCCTGGAGCCTTCCTGTAGGCCGCCGTCGTGGCCGAGGGGACGCCTCTACTTCTCGGACCTTTCCTAGACCTTTCCTGGAGCCTTCCTGTAGGCCGCCGTCGTGGCCGAGGGGACGCCTCTACTTCTCGGACCTTTCCTGGACCTTTCCTGGAGCCTTCCTGTAGGCCGCCGTCGTGGCCGAGGGGACGCCTCTACTTCTCGGACCTTTCCTGGACCTTTCCTGGAGCCTTCCTGTAGGCCGCCGTCGTGGCCGAGGGGACGCCTCTACTTCTCGGACCTTTCCTAGACCTTTCCTGGAGCCTTCCTGTAGGCCGCCGTCGTGGCCGAGGGGACGCCTCTACTTCTCGGACCTTTCCTAGACCTTTCCTGGAGCCTTCCTGTAGGCCGCCGTCGTGGCCGAGGGGACACTCCTCGCGCTCGGCGAGGCGGTGGTCTGGGTCGGCCTCACTAAATAATGACTCCCTTAGGCGCAAGTCTTGAATTAGGCGAGGCGGTGGTCTGGGTCGGCCTCACTAAATAATGACTCCCTTAGGCGCAAGTCTTGAATTAGGCGAGGCGGTGGTCTGGGTCGGCCTCACTAAAGAATGACTCCCTTAGGCGTAAGTCTTGAATTAGGCAAGGCGGTGGTCTGGGTCGGCCTCACTAAAGAATGACTCCCTTAGGCGTAAGTCTTGAATTAGGCGAGGCGGTGGTCTGGGTCGGCCTCACTAAATAATGACTCCCTTAGGCGTAAGTCTTGAATTAGGCGAGGCGGTGGTCTGGGTCGGCCTCACTAAAGAATGACTCCCTTAGGCGTAAGTCTTGAATTAGGCGAGGCGGTGGTCTGGGTCGGCCTCACTAAATAATGACTCCCTTAGGCGTAAGTCTTGAATTAGGCGAGGCGGTGGTCTGGGTCGGCCTCACTAAATAATGACTCCCTTAGGCGTAAGTCTTGAATTAGGCGAGGCGGTGGTCTGGGTCGGCCTCACTAAATAATGACTCCCTTAGGCGTAAGTCTGA